GCTTTGTCTTCAGCGGTTGTGTCGGGAAGGTGAGCATCATAGAATGCCAATTTAATAGAAGTATTTTTGCATTGAGGAAATACTTGAGTGGAGGCCCAATGTTCTTCTGCTGGTTTGACTGTTTTTGTCTGGTCCTGGACTGCAGCCTGGCCTGAATTGGTGTGCACCTTGCAGGGATTGGTCAATAGGCCATGCAAATAAAGTGTCTCTGGCCTACTAAGAGGGGATTGGTTAGGTCATTGCTGTAGTGGAGGAGCTGTGCTTTGAAATCAACAAAGGGTTTGGGTATATAATCAGCCAACCTCACACATGTTCAAGCAGAAAGGAACATAAGCAAGAGAGAGCAGAAGAAATAAAAGGAAATGAAGCAAAATAAGAGAGCTGTGACACAAGTTAAGGATTGTAATACTGAAGACAGCAGTAGGCAAGGAGGGCGCCCAGTGACCGAGCAGATGGCAGCAGAGAGCAGGATCAAGAAGAGCTTGTCCTGAGAGGGCTGAGAGGAAGCTTGTCCTGAGGGAGCTGAGAGAGCTGCCCTACACTGAAAACGAGGGACTTGCCGACAGGCTTCCTGTACCAGGGCGTTGAACTGATTTGAAGTGGTACAGTCGTGATTGTTAGAGCGTTTATGTTGCATAGAACGTGGGATATTGACCTGAGTAGGAAGGAGGAAGATGGCAGCCAGCAGACGTTCAAAGTGGTGAGATCTGCTGCCGTCTTTGAACAAGTCACCATTGCCTGTTTCCTCCTTGGGTCAAAACCCAATGCACAAGAGCTTTGGTGGTGATGCTATGGGTATTTTTTGTTGGCCACAAGTGAACCATTTTGCCTTGCCTGAGCCTGATCCAAGTTGTGTATTGATCCTGAGCCGTAGCTTGTTGCTTCCTTCATCAGCTACTTATCCATGGTAGTTTGTGAGTTTTGTTTGACCCTTTCGATGGAACATTGACCCCAGAAGAGAAGCCGAGAGTGTGCTGCTTTGGTAGGGATAGCTCATTCTAGAACCAGTGAAAGATTGAAGAGTGGTCTCTACTTCATAGGGAGCCCCTTGGACTGATCTTGATTCACCTTGTCCTCCCTGAAGGTGGGCTCTAATGCTACTGCTACCCGCTACTCTCTTACAGGTAGGAAATGTGAAGATGTTGGAAAAATCCAGAGGAACTTCACATAGAAATGCTGTAGAAGGAAGGCCAGGTAGTGGGTGAGCGGCTCTTCGGTGAGTGCCCGTGGGCAGAAAGAGCGGTTGAGCGGTGGTGCTCAGGTGGATGGGAAGCTGCATTGAAACCAGGATAAAGAGGGATGGTTTGTCTAGATCAAGATCTTAAACTCAAATGTCCACAGGCGTCATCCAGACAATATAAATGTACCAGGCAGAAGACAATTGGGAATGGTGGGGACTGTAATCACCACAGAGGGCAGGGCCAATAAAAAACTGAGCCCTAATTCAGCTCCAGTAAATTGTTACCAGGAGGAAATACCTGGTCAGTATTAGAAAATCTTTCTTTCTTTCTTCGTTTCTTTTTTTCCCCCAAACAGATCCTGGAAGTCCAGTTTATACGAAATTTCTCACTTTCTAAAATACTGTGTGGGCCAAGTAAAATACTTGGGACTCTGTGCTATGGGCTGACCTTGGTTGAATTCCAAGACCCTTTCCAACTCTAAGGTTCAAATTCTAGGAAAAGTCTCAGACTCCTGTGATTCTTTTCCAGCAACATTTTGCTCAAGTACTGAATATATTAAGTGTGAAAATTTTGCAGCATGGACAAAACTCAGTACAGTTCCTGGCACCGATAGGCCAAAAAGAGAGAGTATGGATAAAATAAATCAATGTATATAAATAAACCTGTGGGATTAGTACCATAAAGTTTCCTCTTTGGGTTTTAAAAAAAAAAAGTTTACTTTTTGAGCAGATCCAAAATTCACAAAGTACAAAATGGCATGTATTGAAGTCTCCCTCCCACTGATAGTCCATGGTCACCCATTTGCACAGACAACCAATGTTAGGTTGGTTTTGCATATTCTTCCAGAGATACAAGGAAATATGTGCCTAAGTTTCCCTCTTCTTTTCTTTACATATGATAGACTATATATTTGCATTCATGGGACGACTTAGATGGTCTTAACAGTGTATATTCAGCAGTCTCGTTCTTTTTAGTGGCTGCTGTTGTTGTTCTTAGGTCGAGTCCGTTCTGATCCGAGTGACCCTGTGTTTGCCAGAAGGAAACACTGCCTGGCTCTGTGCCACCTTCACAATTGTTATGTTTCAGCCACTCTTGTGGCCACTGGGTCACTCGATCCATCTTGTGGAGGAGCCTCCTCTTTTGTTTTTCTGGTTGCTTTTACCAGGCATGCTGAATGGCAGACCATGATTTATGTACGTGGTTCCCCAACCAGGAACACTTAAGTGTTCCAATATTCTGTTTTATTAAAGTTATTCAATACATAATTATCTATAGAATTTTATACACATAAAGTCTTAAGAATGGACTTGCTAGGTGGATGGCTATTTGCATTTGTAAATTCAATTTTGATGGCTATTGTCAAGTTGTCCTTCAATAAAGCTTCCAATTTGTGCTCCTTTTGGGGATGTATGGGACTGCCTGTTTCCCTACATTCTCTCCAACACAGTATGTCACCAAGAAACATACTTCTCAACTGTCCAAGGAAAAGTGGATATTAGCAGTGTTAATTTTTGTTTTTCTTATTATGAATGACATTGAGCATATTTTCATATATTTAAGAGCTCTTTTTATTACCTTTTCACTGAATTATCCGTTATAGCCCTTTGCCCATCTTTTTCCTATTGAGTAGTTGCCCTTATAGATGTATTAGAACTCTTTTACAGAATTAGCTCTTTATAGAGTAGTGTTTTCTCCAAGGTTGTCTTTTTCTGTTTATTTTTGGCTGATACTGGCTTTTTACTGCAGAATTTAAAATTTTTATGAAGATAATCTTATTGATATTTCTTTATGGGTCTTACATTTTGTGTCCGATTTAGAAATACCTTTCCCACTGTGAAGGTATAAATAAATTCTATAGTTTCATCATTTTACTGTTTCTTTTATTAAAAATTTTTAAGTGTTTGATATTGTTAAAAATGTTCTGAATGTATGGTGTGAGGTATAGATTCAATCTCGTCTTTTTTTCCAGTTGGCTATGGACTTGTTCCAAACACAGTAATGCTTACTTAGGAATTTCAGCTACCTACCTTTGCATATTTTCCACTTCCTCTATCGTCTCAGGTAAAGTCTTCCCTTTGGTCTCTGGCAGCAGCAACACCAGCCCTCCAGCGATCAGGCCGACCACCGCTGCAAGCCAAACATATGCAAATCACATTAGGAACTTTAAAATGCAAGTTATGATATTAGATCTTCCCTTATATCTATTTTTGCATTCTCTAACCCTTATTTACAGGTTCCTGCACCATTTCTGACTGCCTTATTTTCCACCATAAATATTATGCCAGCTTCAAACTCTACTGGGTTACAATTCCTAAAAGGGAAATGAAATATGTACTTCTAGTTTGGGGCCAAGGTTATTCTAGGCTACAGGACATTGTCCCCATATTGAGATACTTCGGGGTTAGAAAATAACTCTGAAGAAGAATTAACTGTTATAAAAAAGAAGGACATAATCCTGCCAGCACAAAGTACTTAATATTAAAAATAAGTCAGAAGTTTGGATCATTATTAGCAAATAGAAGTATCACTGCACAGAATCATTTTAAAAGGTTTTCGGTCCAAAGTCAGGTGTTTGAATCATTCCTGTGTTTCCTTTTTTCTTTTTCTTCAACTGTAACCTTTTGCATGTGCTAGGGGTATTTCGATGCTTTTGTTAATTTAAATTCCCATGCACGTTTTGGACTTCAGAAATTCTGTTTCTATCTGTGGGTGATCCTCTGTCTTGGGGGTTTTGCAGAATGCTGGACGCCACCATCTCTGGCCTGTGAGTGCTGTCCGCACTCAATGTTGGTGATGGGAACAGACAGAGGAAAAACACAGCCAACCAAGGTGCTGTAGTCAGTCCCTGTGAGCCAAAGCAGGATGTGGGTCTTTTGCTAAATCCCATTCAGATCTGGAAAGAACTTAGGCTTAAAGTAGACAGCCCTGGAGATTTCAAACCTTGCCATTAATTAACATGTGACCTAAGTAAGCCCTCGCAAGTACACTGAAGTTGATGGGTCCTGATGCTAGGACTATGTATGTTCTACTTGAGACCAACAGACAACATTTTCCTAGTGTTTATAAATGATTTATAATGTATTGAAGGAGCGCTGGCGGTGTAGAGCCCAAATGCTCAGCTGCACCCAAAAGGTTGGCAGTGCAAACCAACCCGTTGCTCTGAGGGAGGATGATGTGGCAGTCTGTATCTATGAAGAGTCCTCACCCTCTCTACTGAGATCAGGTTGGTCCCAACTGCTAGGGACGCTATACGGCAGAGTAGAACTGCCTCCCAGGGGTCCCAAGGCTATACATCCTCATGGAAGCAGACTGCCTCATCTCTCTCCAGTGGAAGCAGCTGGTAGGCATGAGATGCCAATCTTCCGGCTACACCAGGGCTCCTCTGTAAAGATTACAACCTTAGGAACCCTATGGGGTAGTTTTATACTGTCCTATTGAGTTTCTATTGACTCATTAGCAATGTTTTTGTTTCATTCTCCCACCCCTGACTTTTACAGTGTATTGGGAGCAAGACTAAGCATCTAATATGTATTGGCTCACTCCTTACCCAAACTCCGACTTTTAGTATTAAAATTCTCATTCTATAGATAAGGCAATGAATCAGAGAAGATGATCTGTTTTGCTTGGTCTCTGGGTAATCTTTCCAACAGGTTTGATTGAAGCTAAAATCAAACAATGGTACCCTAAGTTTGCCTCTGAAAGGCTTATTTCATTCATTCATTCATTTCATCACAGTAACACACTCAAAGGATTTGTCTTGACAAAATGACAGTCTCTTGCTCCACCCCTTACACCTTTTAGTTGTAAGGTGTAGTTTACTTCCACCTTTTAGTTCCTTGAAGCAAACACTTTTGTCTGGATCTGTTTTTACTCATTCTAGTGACTGTTAAGGTCAAATAATATACTTAATTAAGCACTTTCTTCGTGATCTATCAGATTGAGATAATATGCACTGATATTCCATTATGAGAGATAAAAAAAGACCCTTCTAGCCCTTTCTCCCTCTTCTTGCCAGTTTTTAGCAGTTACATTATTTTTATTTCCCTCGTTAAAATAAAACAAAACACTTTTTAATGAAATTCCCTATCTCCATGTAATGCAAGGCTATTTGTATCTCCTGAATTTCCTTCCATTTTTGCTTTCCCTACTCTACTGCCCAATGTCATTGGCAATATCAAATATGACAACATTTCCATTTGGTTCAATGCCATCATTTGCTCCAGGCTCATCTATTATTGAACTCTAACACTGGAAAACTTGGTCTGATGACAACGTTAATACTGTTCGTTGCAGGGGCCAGTGGCAAATGAGCCTTTTCTTTTCTTTGAGTCCAAATGTATCCTTCTTACCAAGATCAAAGGGACTCTCTCTTTTTATACTCTATCAACGGCTCAAGGCCTAGGTCAAATTTATTTCCCTTACACATGGACGATGAATTTTTTGGTACAGCTTCTGCTGAGGTTCTTAATGATCTTTTTTGAATCTTGTTGTAGAGACTGGGTTGGTTTCCAAATATTTGAGGACCCATCTTCCCCCTGCTCTCTGCCCTCCTTCTTCTCTTCTCTGCTCACCCAACTCTAGCCTCACTGATCTTTCTGCTGGCTTACAAGGGACACCCCAAAAACCCAGTTTTTTCAAAGCTATGTATTTATTTATTTTTACAAAACAACTTTATCACCTTAATTACACTTATTACATTTGTCAAATCTGTGATTCCATTCTTGGAAACATTTTTCAAACTCATTTGTTTAGATGGCTGACAGGACCTCCCTCATTTTTTCCCTTCACCTCTTCTGTGTTGTCAAATTGCTGTCCTTTCATGTCCCTCTTCATTCACAGAATCAAAAAGAAGCCACAGGGAGCGAGGTCAGGTGAGTCAGGTGCATGGGGCAAGAGAGGCATGCTGTTTTTGCCAATAAACTGGCACACTGAGATGCCTGTGTGAGTAGGTGCATTATTGTGGTGGCAAAACCAGTCCCCTGTCTGACACAAATTAGGTTTTTTTGTCACACACTGTTACACAATCTTTCTGGAATCTCTAAATAGAAAGCTTGATGAACAGTTTTACCTAGTGGAACGAACTCCAAATGCACTATGAGTTGACATTTTCATCTGCTTGGGAAGTTGATTGATGTCCAGAATGAGGTTTGTTGCCAATCAACATTTCACCTTTTTTGAAATGAGAAAACCACTCATACACTTGAGTTTTTTCCATAGCACTGTCCCTGTAAGCTGTGTTCAGCATCATGACAGTTTCTCTGGCATTTTTCCCAAGCAGCAAACACAATTTCACAGCCGCCCCCATTCTCTTAAATTGGCCATTACAAAAAATGAGGTTTGAACAAAACTCTTTTACGAAAAGTTTACTGTGACCAGAGGGAAGCTTCCTAGGTGATGCCACTGGATGCACTAACTCAGAGAGAGTTGCTGGATGCTTGAATATTGGGGGGGAAATGTGTACTATAAAAGATCTACCTAGTGGAGCTTTTCTCTGTTTTTGTTTTTGGTGACCCCTCTTATGATTGGCCCAGTTTGGGGGCCCTTGCCTGTGCTGATCCCTCTGCTTGAAATTCTTTCCTGTGACTTGCTTCACCTGCTCCAGGCTCACTTTTCAAAGACACTCTCTCAACTCAAGCCGGTTGAGGCCATGGCCATTGCTCCTTGCCCAGTTTTAATATGTTCATAGCCATCAACACTCCATGAAGTTGTTTTGTGGCTCTTTGTTTACTTGTTGATTGGATGACTCAGAAATGAACTCACTGCCATGGAGCCGGTTCTGACTCAAGGACAGGGTAGAACTGGATGTTGAATGTCCTTGGGATTTTACATTTCTCTCTAAGATGTCCTTTCTCTTGGTTTGATGTGTCTACATTACAGGCTTCACAGAGGGCTGCAAATAACGAGTATTTGTAAGGTGCCTAGAACCATGCTGGGGCACAGGAGGCATGATGGATGGATACCAGTTGCTGCTGAGTTGATTCACGGCGACCCCATGCAATTCAGAGTTGGAATGGGTACCAACTAAGGTTTCCAATGGCTGATTAATTTTGGAAGTAGTTTGCCAGGCCTTTCTCCCCAAGTACCTCCAGGTAGACTTGAATTTCCAATCTGTCTAACAGCCAAGTGTTTAACTGCGTGCCCTACCAACAGACTCCTGAATAGTGCGTGGGAGGGGACAAAAATCCAAATCCATCACCCGCTAGCAGATTCTGACGCATGATCATTCCACGTGTTACAAAGTGAAGATGTGGTTCCTAGGGTTTTCTTGGCCGTAATCTGTATGGACGCAGGTCGCCAAATTTTCTTCTATGGTTTTGCTAAGTGGGTTGCAACCACTTTCCAATTAATAGAGGATTACAAACTGTGCCACCCAGGGACCTATGGCAGTGCTTACTGAATAACTGGTTTCTCAAAAGGGCTCCAAACCTCTAGAGCAGCCGTTCTCAACCTGTGGGTCGTGATCCCCTTGGGGGTCGAGCGACCTTTTCACTGGGGTCACCTGATTCATAACAGTAGCAAAATTACTGTGATGAAGTAGCAACAAAAATGATTTGATGGTGGGGGGTCACCACAACATGAGGACCTGCATTAAAGGGTCGCGGCATTAGGAAGGCTGAGAACCACTGCTCTAGAGACTCGCTCAGTTATCAAGATGGAACACATGTAAACAACCAATGCTTTCAGCTCGCATCTGAATCCAGGGTCTGGAGTGAGGGAATTGTGGAGAACACAGTGCTGCCAGGCACATCGAGTGTTCTGACCCACAGTGACCCTGCGCACCGCAGACCAAACACCGGCCTGTCCTGTCCCATCTCCACAATTGTTCTGATGTGGGAGCCCATTGCTGCAGCCCCTGCGTCCATCCATCTTGGCATGGCCGTCTTCTTTTTCATCGCCCCTCTACTTTATCATAGTGGATTCATCAAATTGTGGTCATTGGCTCTTTACATGTGCTGATAAAGCCCTAGTTAGGTAGGAGACTACAGATTCTTGTTTCCCGTGTTCTTTCAACAAGGCCTCTCCATTGGGTTGACTTGGCAGGTTTCTTGGTGTTTCATGGCTCAGACCATGCTGAGCATTCCCTCCGTACGTGGAATGGCTGCGTGCATGAGCTGGGCTGCTCACTCAAAGGGGGGCAACTTGAACCTTCCCAGAGGTGGCTTGGAGGAAAGGCCTGGGGTAATCTACTTCCAAAAAGAGCAGGGCTTTGAACAGCCTCGGGAGCCATTATGCTGTGCAACTCAGGGGTCCGCATGAGTGAGACTCAATGGCGAGTGGCTTGGTTTCTGGTTACCGTGAGGAAGAGCAGGGGAAAGATATTACAATGCTAAGCGGTGTTGCCTCCTGCTGGCCACACAGACTCAAGACTGGCCAGTCTTGAGAAGAAGAAATGAGTGGCAAAAATCAAGATGGAGCTCGTCCCTGAATGTACATGTTGAAACGTAAGTCTAGTCCTTTGCCTTTTCCTCGGTGGAGGTGAGCATGCAAACCACCCAGAGCAGTTCCTCTGGTCCTGGACCGTCTCCCTGCTTGTGAAACGGCCCCTAGAGAAACAGGAAGCGTCCATTCTCTACCCAGGACTAACCACTGCCCCAGTGACCCCCTTCTCTTCACTGTCCTTTTGAGGGAGGAGCCTAGAGAGAGGGTTTCCAACTTCTTAGAAGGAAGGTGTCTAGAAGGGTGCAGGGGGCATCTCCCCCAAGTCGACAGGGGCAAGAGGTCCCTAGTCAGTCTTGGAGGAAGAAATCTGGGGCGGGTATGTCTCCTGAGCAGTGCCAGCCACTCTGTGGTCAGACCACGGCCATCTCAGGATAAAGAGCTTGTGTTCTATACACTCTGACCATCTTGTGGTGATTACATTGGAATGTGGAGGAATTCACTGGGTCTGTTTCAAGGGTGAGTCCGATCAACAGTCTGGAACTTTTGCTGGCAGACCTATAGCAGTGGAAAAAATCTTTCCCCCTCACAAATCTCTGCCGGATGGGGAGAAGTAGGAGTGAGCAGGGGTGGACATGCGTGGGTGCGTGCGTGCGTGGCACTGAGCACACCAGGAGGGAAAGATGGGAGGGAGTGTCCCTGCTATTCGCCTGGGACGGGCAAGTGCTTTCTTCCTTTAAATTAAGGGAGCGCTGTAGGTTGCTATTGTTCAGGGCCCTGGAGTCACTTCTGATTCGGTGACATCATGTGACAGAACAGAACTGGCCCATGAGGTATTCTTGGCTCTCCTCTTTATGGGAGCAGACCAACAGGTCTTTCTCCTAAGGAACAGCTCCATTAGTTCACGGCCAAGTGCTTAACTCCTGAACCACCAGGCTTCCTGAAAGTTGGATGCCCATGGAGAAAGTGTACCATCATCAACTGCAAAGACACTCAACGCGGATCCTGAAAGCAAGTACACTGAGTGGATTTAGAGGCGTCTGGATTGACAAGAGAAGGTGGGTATCAATTAGGCGCCTGAATCTGGAAACAGCATCCATTCACCTCACAGGCCTCTGTGAGATGCCTGGAAAGAGGAAGATGTGTCTTGTGGTCTGTTGCTGTGGGGAAAGCCAGCGACCATGGATACTGGATGAGTGGAAAGCCAGGAATTCTCTCAACCTACAGATTTTATGCTCAGTAGCACACTGAGCATATGTGTGCTAACCGCCGATGCTTGGAGTTATCTTTGTGACCTTCTGTCCACCTCCCACTGGTGGGGCGAAGGAGGGGGTCTGATCTGCGCCTGACTCCACTGACCATGTTACCAGGAGAGCCTGGGCCAGTCTCCCATCAATCTCACTGTCAAAGAGGCTGAGGAAAGCGCTCCAACCCCTGCACAGGGTTTCATTATGCCCGGGCCTTTTCTTAATGTTGGTTTTGTTTTCATGCCAACCACCTTTCTTTGAAGGCATGAGGTCGTTTTCCACATCTGAGCAGAGAGGCAGCAGCCCTCTGACAAAGAGGCCCTTGGACGGGTGGAAACCAGTTGGGAGAGAGTCCTGGCCCCGCTCCGTGAGGACTAATGGGCTCCCACACTCGGGTGTTAGTGGTTACCTGCAGGACTTTCACTCTCCGGTAGAAAGACGGAGGTCCCTAGAAAAACCAATGTTCGCTTCACAACACGGAGAAAGATGTCTCACCAAAAACCATCAGTGGGAGTTCGTGCCAGACGTCGGTGAGCCGGTACACCAGGAAGGGCGTGAGGATGCCGCCGATGTCACACATCGAGGAGCAGACGAGGACGCCAAGATTCCTAAAATGCAGGGAGCCGGTTGGACGGTTGCCTGTATCACAGTGTGTAGTAAACTCTCCCTCAACCCCAAGTAAACACTCTCCCAAATCATCCAAGTGTCTGTGAACTGATAACATGACGTCCACGCCATTTTTAACACACACACATGATGTTGTTAGTTGATTCTGACTCCTGTTGACCTTCCCTCAACCCGGATGACATGCTGCCTGCCTTGGAAACATCACTGTGATCGCGGCCAGGTTTGACTGAGCCCTTGGTGGGGATTTGGGGACAATCCATCTCCTGGAGAATTTCTCTGATCTCAGCTGGTCCTCGACTTTCCAACACCGCGCCCTTCTCTCCTGAGGCTGCGTCCAACGCGAACAAGTCGAAGTCTTGCCCATCCTCGCTTCTGCAGACGCTGCCTCATTCCAGCCACATTCTCATCTACTTGTTTCATAGAAACCTTTGAGTGTTGGAGTGGGACGAGGGCCATTTTTTTAAATATACCTTGTGCTTTCATTACCTGACTTTACGGCACCTCTCTTATGGGCCTGATGGTGCTGTGCTAGAGCAATCTCTCCAGAACCCAGTTTCTTTTACTCTGACCACACAGTTTCTGAGTTTGAGAGTTTGAGGGGGGCTGATTTCGCTTCTGTCTTTAAATGCTCTCATCTTGTCTTACCCTCTGCTCCTGCCTTCGTCTCAGGCCAGCACCAGCTAGTTCACCCACCTGCTCTGTGCTGTGTACAATGCACTCACCTGATGAAAGTGGGGTACAATTCTGTATTGACGAGGCAGACCATTTCATAGGCCAAGGTAATCCCCATTCTGCCTAGGCATGCAACAGTAACTTTTAGCCACTGTAGATCTGAGGGAAACAAACAAGCAAACAGTAACAACAAAAACCATGTCACCCATCCACAAAACGTACCCATGCCTTGTCCTCGGAGAGTCCTCTAGAAGGACTTGGTAAGGAGACATTCATACTACAGCGCTCTTCTGTAGATTCAGGACAACAATGGCACATTCTCCATCTCTTTGTTTTCACCTTAGACCCAAGACCCATTTGTGTCTCCTCGCTGTAGACCTCAGTGGGGAGTGAGAACAGAATTATACCTGCTTTCGAAGGTGGACCACCTTGCGCGTACGCAGACCACAGTGGAGTGTGGGCATATTGTAAACGATTGCTATGAACTGAATGATTCAAGCCAAGCTCTGCATTGCTAACGGGATTCTGTTAGATAGGATTTTGTTTCTTTTCGCTGAGAAAACATTTTAAAAAGAAAGAGAGAATCTGACTGATTGTTTATTGATTGCATTTATTTCACCTGTCTCCTGCAGTCTGTAGGACCACACAGAGAGGACAAGGGATCCGCCTAAATAGTATCGAGACATTTTGCTCTACCCAAAAGTCCATCCTCGTTATGCCAGTGCTGCGGCCTGAAGGGTGGACCCTGATAGCCTTCACTGTCATTTTACCCCAGGAGACAACTGGATGCCATTGTTTTTTTTTTAAAAAAACACTCTTATTTGGATGCCCTTGTTCCTGAAGGCAGAGTGGTCACACAGGATTGCCCTGGATGGTTCCAGATCTTTTTTTCTCAGCTTGGTTTGGATGATAAATTGCATGCTCCTGCTTTCCAAGGGTCATGACACTCCCTCTTCTCAGGGTCTTGGAAGACCCTGGCTGGCCTTGAAACTTACCATCGGGGATAAAAACTGAGGCCAGACAGGCTGCCCCTGCCACCATATTTGACCCTGCCCAAGGATACCGGCGGCCAATGCGATCGATAGTGAGGATGATGATGAGGGCAGCTGGGAATTCCACCAGGGCAGAGTAAAAGAAGTCCAGGTAGATGTCACCCCCTGCGAGGCCCATGTGCATGATGAGGCCCTGGTAGAGAACGGAGCTTGTGAACCTGAGTAAAGAAAAGAGCCCAGGTCAAGCCAAGCACCAAACACAAGTAGCCCCAAAAGGGAGAAGCTTCTGGGAAAATGGGGCACGGTGGTGGTAGGGTACTTCTCTTTGTGGTCTTCTTACTAACAACCTGTCCATCCGATTGCTTTTACGTATCTAACCCTACTGCCGTGGCTGGTTATGAGTACAGAGCAAGCAAGGGAAATACGATTAGGAGACAATCTGTGGGCAAGAAACTCCAAAGAAATGATCTCAATGGTCAGAGGGATCTATTCAGTAAAATGTTGCTGAGTTAGTAGTGGCTGATCATGATTTATCTTTGTGCTCCTCCAATGGAGGAGGGATTCAACCTCAGTGCAAAGGAAACCCAAATCCTGCCAACTGGACTGTTGACATCGTCACGATAAAAAGAGAAAAAAATGGCAGTTGTCTAGGGTTTATTTTAGTCAGATCCACAGTCAATGCTTATGGAAGCAGCGGTCAACTCAGCTGCGTGGGATCTCTCAGGCATACCTGGACCCAAGCCACAGCGCTTTCAATCCCCCCATGCGCACATGAGAGCTGGACCATGAATATGGAAGACTGAAGAAGAAGTGCTATTTTTTAATTCTGGGGTTGCCGAAGAATGTTGAAAGTACCCTGGACTTCCAGAACAAACAAATATGTCTTGGAAGAAGTACAATCAGAATGGCGACACGTTGTCTCACGTCCTTTAGACATGTTATCAGGATGGCCCATCATGCATGATCAAGTAGAAAGTCAGGGGAAACAAAAAAAGAAGACTGTCAAGGAGCTGGATGGACGGAGTGGATGCAACAATCCCTCGGACATAACAATTGTGAGGACGATGCAGTGTGGGGCAATATTTGGTTCTGTTGTGCACAGGGCCATTCTGAGTCAGACGGACCCGATAGCACCCATCACCACCCCCACCAGCAACAACAATGCAGTTGGAATCAAGAAGAGTCACTACTTATTTTCAAACTTTAAGAAACCAGAAACCAAATGGGTCAAGTCACCCCTCTTGATGGTTTTACCTGATGACCTGCTACAAACAACTCTTTGATCTGTTTCCAGGTTTGCTGACTGAAAAAAAAAAAGTTCATTCTCTGTCATGGAAATAAGAAGCTAATGAGCTGAAGGAATATTTAGAATAAGGAAAGAAGGACAGCGGGGCCAAATATCACCACTGCATTTTAGAAGCACCCCCTGTAGAGGTTGAGCGATTACTTCCTGATGAATGCTGAGTTTGTCAGTGGTTGTCAGCCTTCACGTGGCTGCTGTAGAAGCCAACATGCACTGAAGGGAAGTAAGCCTTCTGTGAAAGACATAGCCCAGGTCAAGCAGCACCTGGAACGGGGAGCAGCTGGAGACATGGACAGACGCAGCAGCGTTCCAGTGACAAGACTGTGTGCAAGTGCAAGTAGATGTAATAATGGGTGATAGCAGCTCATAGATTGAGTTTTTTCCACTCTTGCCAGCCCTGTTCTATAAGAAGAGACCTTCCCTAGTGTTCATTCCATCAAGAGCAATAGTTCTCAATTTTGGCTACACATTAGCAATATCTTTTAAAATATTGGTTCCTGGGCCCTACTCCAGATCAATGACATCAGTATCTCTGGGGGCAGGACTCTGGCCTCAGTTATGTTTAATCTCCCCAGGTGAGTCCAAGGGGGAAGCCAAGGTTGGCAGCATATGGATCTGTGCTTAGGGACTAGAAAAGAATTTCAATATTTGCTTGAGAAAAATGATATTGGAAAACCTTGATTTCAATGTTGGTGTCCGCCAGCCATGCCAACCCTAGGATTAGCTGTGTTCTGAAGTGTTGCTGTTCTCTACCTTTATCGGGGATGACTGGGATTGAGAAAAATGTGTGAGGATCTTAACACTGAGAGAGGGAGGGAGAGAGAAAAGTTCCTTACCAGTTGTACATCAAAATCAAAGTGTGTTTCCTGATCTGAGGGGTTCTGACCAAGTCAAGGAATGAAGGATCCAACTTCTTGCCAACTTCCTCATCAGGTCGCAGGCTCTACAAATAGAAAGAACAACAGCTCTGTCTGTTCACTGGTGGTGCCTCCGGGTCATATATGGAAGGACAATAATGCTTCACATGCACCAATGTGAATATCAGTGTTGATAATGTGCCACACTATACTAAGTACTTCACATACATCATCTTACTTAATCTTGAAAGATCCTGTAAGTAAAATTGTATCTCCCCGCCCCCCCAATCTGAGTTTACAGCAGAGGAAACTGGAGACAGAGAAGTTAGACAACCATGGCACAGAGATAATGACACTGGGGGAAGATCAAGGCCCAGCCAGCTGCCTCCACACCCTGGGTCCATGTGTGAACCAGTAGGTGGGAAGTTCTGCTCAGAGGCCATGGAACTCAGCTCAGCAGCATCAGCAGGACCTAGTGCTTGTTTGAAATAAAGGCCTAGGGTTCCATCTCTGATTTATTGATGCAGAATTATTTAGCCTTTGTATAAGATTTCCAGTATTCCTTTGCACAGATATAGCAGGTTGAATAAGGTCCCCCAAATTCATGCCTGCTGGAACCTCAGAATGTGACCTTATTTAGAAATATGACCTCGGCAGATCTTGAGAAGAGATCATTTTGGACTTAGGGTTGATTCCAAATCCAATGACCGGTGTCCTTCTAAGGAGAGGACACAGAGAGACACACAGGACATGGCCAGGTGATGATGGGGGCAGAGATGGGTGTGATGCATCTATAAGCCCAGGAGCACCATGGGTGCTGGAAGCCTCTGGAAGAAGGGGGATAGAAATGGAATAGACAGCCTCTCTCAGAGCTTCCAGAAGGTACCAACCCTGCTGAACCCTTGATGTCAGACTTCTGGTCTCCGTAACTGTGAGAGGACAAATTGCTGTGTTTTAATCCCCTGGAGTTTGTGGTCATTTGTTATAGAAGCTGTAGGAAATGAAAGCAGTAGTTATTAAAGTTGAGAAGATAAGAGAGCATAGTTATGAGACGGTGGCATTGAGAGTCAAACTCCAGGGTCTGGAAGCAGAACTTGCACACAAGCAGGGCTTACAATCAGTTCATTCTAGTTTGACCCTTGCTGAGAATTTGCATCTCTACCCCAGATAACTTGAATCAGAATCTACATGTTAATGAGACCCCTGGGCGATTCTTATGTACACCTTCTTATGCACGCATACGTCTCACCTGGGGATCTTGTTAAAATGTCCATTCTGGTTCAGTATAGCTGGGGTAGAAATGCAAATGAACTGTTTCAAAAGCCCTGCACACAAACCACTCCACTCTGCCTCTTTCCTGGAAGGAACAGGGAGCGTGTGGGAAAAAGTGAGGGATGTGGTGAAGAGACCTCCCAGCAAGACTCTGGCAAGCCGTCTTGCCATTACAGGAGCTCCCTTTCCGTTGGTGACACAGAGCTTCGCTGGTGCTTCATTTCCTGGCCAACATCTAAAAGAGCCTAAAACCGAATAATCAGGTTTGAGTAGCAGTCATCAGCAGGAAAAAAGACACATTTCAACCACCCAGAAACCCGAGAGGAAGTGAAGAAAAAAGATCTCCAGGCCCAAGACCCTCACTGTAAATGTCATGTAGGAACAGGTCTCAGATTCTTAGAGGCAACACATCCTAGACCCTCATTCAGAAAGACGTTATTTTTATTTAGATACAAGTTCTTTATAAACCTGGTTTTCTTCCCCCCACTCTTATCCCCCCACCCTCCACCCCCACCCCCCAACCCTATTGGCACTCTACATAGGTAAGTTAAAAAAAAAGTGCAACTAGGGTTCAAGTTTATGCATGTATCGATTTATTCTAAACCAAACACGTGCAAGCATGCCTCTGTGATTGGTGGGTAGCTATAGACAAGTTCGCACAGTAATGACCTTGTCTTGATCTTGTTAGAGTGCCTCCAAAATAAAGGTCCAATCAAAGGGTGGCTTCTGAGGGGGATCTGCTGGGTCAGTTAAAGTCGAGACAGAGAGTCAGCTCAGAAAGCCATGGTGACTGTGTGTGTGTATGTGTGTGTGTGTGTGTGTGTGTGTGTGTGAGGGGCATTCCCCTGGGGTAGTCTCTGTTTTGGAAGAAGTACAACGAGAATGCAAGGATGGCTAGACTTTGTCTCATGTACTTTGGACATGTTGTCAGGAGAGACCATTTCCTGGAGAAGGAGATTATACTTGGTAAAGTGGAGGGGCCAGAAAAAAGAGCAAGACCCTCAGGGAGATGGATGACATAGTGCCTGGGACAGTGGCCTCCAACCCAGCAGCCATGGCGCGGATGGCCCAGGAGCGGGCGGTGTTTCATCTGCTGTACACAGTGCCTCTAGGAGTCAGAAATGACTCAAGGCCACTACCAACAATGGAGCTGTCTTACCAGATTTTCTGGAAGGACACAGATGATCAGGATTTATTAGGAAGATGCTTTAGGAGAACTCAGGACTGTATCAAGGATAAAAAAGCCAGGAAAGCTTTACCAAGGAATTCCTCCCCCCCTCCCCCTCACAACAATGTACCTGCTCATTTGTTGAGGGTTGCAAGGGCCGTCCTATGAGAACTTCACTGGGAAACCTGACCCCCTTCACCCTGGAGTCCTGACATTGCCTCATTCCGACTTCCTTTTGTCCGCACAAGCTCAAAGGGCATGTTAAAGGAACACAGTGGAGTCCCCGGAGGATGCCCAAACAGCTGTTTTGACACAGTACACATTGAAGAGCACAGAATTCTGCCGGGAAGGGTCAAGCCCATGCCAAACTCATGGCTATAAGGCAATTCTGACTCCTAGCGACCCTACAGCACAGGGTAGAACTGTCCCTTTGGGTTTCTGAGACCTTTACAGGAGCGGGCAGCAGCGTCTTTCCGTGAAGCTGCTGGTATGTTCGAACTGCCGACCTTGCGATGAGCAGCCATGACCCCACCAGGGCTCCTGTAGACAGCTGGAAACCCCACCTTCAGGAGTATAGAGGCCTACGTGGAGGAGATGTTGAAACACCATAGCTTCACACTTTGAAAGTTTTTGTTTAATAAAGGTATCTGTGGTTTTCTCGCAGCACTTCTTGACTTACCCTTGCTGTTCCAAATATTGGCCAAGGAAACCCCGCAGAGGGCAGCACCATACTGCTCAGTAGAGACCCAGCAGTGTTGGGTTTGACTTGACAGCATCTAACACCAGCCTCAGTTGACTGAGAAGGTTCAAATTCAAAGTGAATGAGATCTACGGAAGGCCAGATGCCAGATACAGACCCCTATGAGACTGTGTTGGAGAGGGCAGGCAATTGTTTGAAAACGTTTTGGGACAATTGTGATCCCAAATGTTTAAAATTCTAGGAAATTATTTGCGTTGAAGAACTAAGTCATAAATAACTCATCTTGGAATCTGTCCTCTGCGGAACCTTTCCTGAGGATCCTGGCTCAGCATGCAAACCAGATGAGGAATTCGGGTATGTGTGGACGGGGGGGCTGGGGCTGGGCAGCCACGTTTTGAGTTGCACAAGGTAGACGCTGCTCCTTTGATTTAAAGAAGGTTTTTTGGATCCCTTTGAGTTTTATGTTTTCCTCCAGCTTGCCGTAATGTACGAGGGAACCACAAATCTCCGCAGACGAAATGTTCTGTGGCATTTTACTACCCCAAACCCACCAAGCCCACAGCTTCAAAGTCCAGTCTGTTCTGGCTCACAGAAATCCTGAAGGACAAGAGTCGAACTGCCCCGCTTTGTTTCCGAGGATGTAAATCCGTCTGGGAGCAGATAGCCTCCTCTGTCTCCTGGGTACTGGCTGGTGGATTTGAACCGCTGACTGTTTGCTTACCAGTCCAGTGTGGGGACAGGTGTCCTTCTGCTGGAGCTGGGGCCTTGCCAGCCCCTCTCTTCCCGATGATTCCTGACTTGGAACCTAAGTGGTTGCCTCACCTGGAGAGAAGCCGGCAGCCGTTTTCTGTTTTTCTTTGCGATGTGCTTGATGATCTTCATGGCCTTAGCATTTTTGTTCTGGGTGATGAGCCACCTCGGCGACTCGGGAAGGCACCTAGGATACAAGGGACTGGTCACCATTGCTGTTGAATGCAGGGGAAACCTTAATGACAGCCCCCTCCTTCCCAAGTAGATTTCTACGGGGGGAATCTCCCAACAGTAGCTGAGGTTATTCGAGGGCTATGTGGTTCGGCCCTCCTCTGAGTGCTGGCTGCGGACCCAGGTGGTGCAGTAAGCCCAAAGAACCTGCTCAGAAGTTTCAGCAAAATCATGGGAGCAAACTACCAAGCAGGGTACAAGAGGAGACTTTGTCCAGGGGTGGGCTCTGACCGAGGGAACAGGGGGCAGATGGGCAAACTGTTGCGTGACGTGGGAGCAGGTAGAATATGTTTATGCTGAAAGCTGACTTCCCAGCGGATGAGATGAGAACTGGCGATGAGAGGATGTGGGGGTCAAAGGTCCGGGGGAGGGAGTGACAAAGACAAGCTCCGCCGTTCAGGCTGGAGAAGGAGGCGGTCACAACTCCTCGAACCCACTGGAGACTGAGTCTAGAGAGGGCTGTCTGCAGCAGGTCAGGACAAGACGGAGGTGGCAGGCCTGGCAGGACAGCACTTCGGCGGCTTTCAGAAGGCCACCAGGGGGACCATCATCTGAAGAGAAGGCGGACTCTGTGAGGCAGGGCTCAGAAGCCCTGTTGTGGTGGTTTCTTTTGGTGGTTGTGCATGGGGAGAGGTGTCAGGGCAGTCGCTCTGGCAACCGTGCTCTGGGGAGCAGGGCCCTCTGTGGGACACGGCCTTTGAGCTTTCCAGATCACTCCAGAGGCCTGGCGTTCAGGAAGTGTGGCATGGGCGCTTCACCCAGACGGCCAAGGGGAAGTACTCAGACCCTAGTCACAGGCAGGAAGGACCAGAAAGGCTCAGAATGGTGGTGGAAATGCCGTCAATTCTCGTTCCAGAAAAGTCACTGCGAAATGGAATCAGCAAACACTGGACTATTGCTCCTGAGGAAATACCCAGTTAAACGCACAGGAAAACTCACCCTGTGAGTCAACCCTGACTCCTGGCAACGTTACAGCAGAGAGCAGCTGTGGCTTTCTGAAGACTGTAAATCTTTACAGGAGTAGAAAGCCTCATCTTTCTCCCACAGAGTGGCTGGTGATTTCCAACAGCTGACCTTGTGGTTAGCAGGCGAACGTGTAACCACTATGCCACCAGGGCTCCTAAGACGAGGTCAGGTTTCTGCAAACAACGTTTTCATCAATCCACACAGAACCTTGTTTCTGCTTCTAGACGCGTATTGAGTGCACATTACTAACTCATTAGGGGCCTCTGGTCCTAGGGCAGAAGCTGGACCACACGGTCCTTAAAGCTACTCGGCCTTAAGAGCTCACCGTCTACAGGGCAGACATCAGGAAGCGGATGGTTGAGGACACAAGGTGGTCCATGCAAACCAGCGCACAGTGATCCTTGAGGGCCAAAGCCAACCAAGGAGGGCTGCTTAGGGGCGTGTGCTTGAGCTGGGTCCTACCTCCAAGGATTTCCATCCCACCTGCGTCTTACAGAACCTCTCAGCCTTCTTTGCTCCTGGCTTCTCCTCCCCTGCTTGACTCTCCAGCATTTGTACTCTCCCCCTTTCCTTTCCCAACTCTATTTACTCAGAGTGAGTTCCTCCACTCCCAAAGCTACGTAAAATGGATGCTTGGCTTTTACTGGAATCCCTGATCCTTGAATTTAGCGACTTCTACATGTAGACTTCCTTCCAGGGCCCCAAAGTCAGCATGCCCAAAGCAAACCCACCTCGTTTCCTTCCAACCTGGAACCTCCTTCCACGTTTTCCCTTTCTCTGACTGGCATCTCCCCGAAGTGCAGGCATATGGACTTCAACTCTGGGGGCCAACCCAGGAGACACTTCCTGCATTCTAGGACCCTTCCCAATCCATCGCCAAGCTCGGTCACTGATGATGCCTGTTGAAGTTGTTTATAACGTCATCTTCTTCAGACAACTTTGGTCTTAATTCTGCTCTTGTCATCTCCTACAAATATTATGGCAGTGATTTCCTGACTCAGCTCCCTGCCTCCATTTTTCTCCCAGCGTGCCCTGTTCCCACCCCATCTTGCATCTTGAATGTTTTTTTAAAATAATTTGAACTCTATCATGGAGCATTTATAGAGGAGTAAGTAAGTTTAAAAGAACTCTGGTCAAATATGCTTGATACAATTGATGTATGGATTATTAAAAGACTTGTAAGAGCCCCCAATAAAATGATCTTTTAATTAAAAAAGAACCCTGGTAGCTGAGTGAGCTACACTTTTGGCTGCTAACTATGAGGTCAGTAGTTTGAACCCACCTCCCACTCTGAGGGAGAAAGATGAGACATTTGACTCCTACAAAAAAATGATAGCTTCAGACGCTCACCTATAGGGTTGCTCATCAGACAGATGGCAGTGAGGTTTTTGTTTCGGTCAATTCAGTGTTAAAGAGAGTAACAAGAGGACGTGCTTCTGAGGCAGACAGAACTTGGATACTAGATACGTTTTTGGTTTTTTTTTTAAATTCTTAGAGAAAAACCTATCAAACACTTTTCAAGCAGGGGGTGGTATGGTGGAGCTGGGCTTTGGGAATGACGGGTGGAGACCAGTTGGGAGTGTATGGCAGCTATCCAAGTCAGAAATAATGCTTTCCTGATGAGCTAGATTGACAAAATAGCTCCAACAGTGGAGTCAAACATATCAGCAGTCATGAAGATGGTGTAGGATTGGGCAATATTTCTTTCTGCTGTACATCTGGTCACCGTGAATCAGAGCCAACTCGACGACAATGAACAATCACATCAATGGAGATACAGGGAACAGGGGGACAAAGAGTCAGAGAAGTAAAGGGGCAAGGTCAGCTAGAGGGCAAGGAGGAAGGGGGAAGTATTCAGGATGACTCTTAGCATTAGGCTGGCATTTGGAGGCAAAAAAGACACCCGTGTGGGCTTAAGAGGTTTCCTTCCCAGGGAAGAGAATTACGGAGAGAACAGGAACTGTATGTGGAAGGGAATCTGTGGGTGTGTCACCTGAGAGGGGAGACTCTGTGGTGTAGTCCAGCACTCCTGTGGTGTAGTGAATTGCTTTGATGTGGTGCTTCTAGCCATGGTTGTACTATTGCACACAGGGTTGCTGTGAGTTAGCATGCACTACACTCACAAGGGCTTTCAGAGTACGGAAAACAAGGTTGTTACTTTGAGGACTAAGGTGCACCTGACCCAAGTCATGGTATTCTCCATTGCCTCGTAGGCATGTGAAAGTCCTAGTTCAAAGGACATTGAATTAGGAGGCCCAGAGGAGAATCCATGCATCTGAACTGTATTGCTGGAAAAGAATATTGGCATTACCATAAAAGGACAAACATATCTGTGTTGGAAGAAGTACAGCCAGAGTGCTCCTTAGAGCAAGAATGGCTAAACTTTGTCTTACATCTTTTGGACAGGTGGTCAGGAGAGACCAGTCCCTGGAGAACAGTCGTTGTGCTTGGTAGAGTAGAGGGGCATTGAAAAAGAGGAAGACCCCCAAGGAGCTAGTATGACACAATGGCTGCAACATGTGATTCGATCATGGAAACAATTGCAAAGATGCACAGTGTCCTTTTGTGGTGCATAGGGTTGCGATGATAACCAACTGCTCTACAGGAGAGAAGTGTGGTCGTCTGTTCCATAAATATTGCAGTGTTTGAAGCCATGGGGCAGTTCTACTTACTAAGGGGTACCCTCAAAAACTGGAATTGTGCTGGGTGCAGCAGAGCTTTGTAGTACGTGTTTTTCCTACTAGGAGAGCATCAAGCAACTCTCTCTGAGTGAGTGCACCCAGTGGCGTCACCTGGAAAGGTTCTTTGTGGTCACAGTAAATTTTTTCACAAAAAAAGTTTTGCTCAAACCTCATTTTTTTTGTGATGGCTGATTTAAGAGAACAGGAGAGGCTGTGAAATTTTGTTTCCTGCTCAGGAAAAATGCCGCAGAAACTGTCGTGATGTTGAACACAGCTTACAAGGACAGTGCTATGGGAAAAATTCAAGTGTACGAGTGGTTTTCTCATTTCAAAAGAGTTGAAATATTGATTGATGACAAACTTCATTCTGGATGTCCATCAACTTCCCAAATTGACAAAAATATCGACTCATAATGCATTTGGAGTTCATTCCACCAGGTCAGACTGTTAAGCAACCTTTCTATTTAGAGGTTCTGAAAAGATTGTGTAATAGTGTGGAACGAAAAAGGCCTGATTTGTGTCAGATGGGGGAATGGTTTTGCTACCATGACAACGCACCTGCTCACCCAGCCACTTCAGTAGGCCAGTTTTTGGCAAAAAACAGCATGCCTCTCTTGCCCCACGCACCTCACTGACCTGGCCTTGCTCCATGAGACTTCTTTTCGCTTCCACAAATGAAGAGGGACACGAAAGGACAGTGATTTGACGATGTGGAAGAGGTGAAGAAAAAAATGAGATAGGTGCTGTCAGCCATCTAAATAGATGAGTTTGAAAATGTTTCCAAGAATGGAATTGCAGGTTTGACAAATGTCTTAAGTGTACTGGAGAGTACTTTGAAGGTGATAAGGTTGCTTTGTAAAAACATTTAAACTCATAGCTCTGAAAAAAAAATTCCATTTTGGGGGTGGGTACCCCCTCGTACTGAAGGAAAATAGATGTTTTTGATTTGGGTAAACATGATCTTGTAACTCCAAGATGTCTGTGGCTTACCAGAGATGCTGAATAATTTTTCTGAAGTAAAGAAGATACATGGAACTCTTTTGAGGGTGAAACCATGCAAATAGGCCACATCAAACCCTTGTAGGTCTTGCTGGGGTGGAGATGCACCTTGAAGCTTACAAGGAGCTTGCTATATAACCAGCTTTAGGGAGAGACAAGGAGCAATAAAAGGGGGCAATGACATTGAAATCTTGAAGGAGCATTAAAGATGACCCAAAGGACAATGAGACCCAGGAGGCCAGTCCAGAGGGCTGCAGTGGGGTTCCCAGCCCCAAGAGTCAGATGACAGCAAGACTGAGAAAAATCCATCCGGATAGAAAATCTGTCTCTCAAGTTATTTCTGTTACTTCCAAATTAATCTTGATCCTGGACTACATATCATTACCTTCTCAATAAGCTCCATAATCCTAAATACAGTTTGTGAATTCTGTGAGCCTCTTTTTTTTAGATGAATTTGTTTGTCACTAGAGACTACAAATCCATTGCAGTTTTTTCCTTCTCTGTCTCTCTTATAAGTCACTCAATCCACTATTTAGATTTGAGGGATAAGGAATATGGAGGGATCTTTTAAAAAAAAAAAAAAAAAGAAACATACTCTGTCTATTTCCACAGCCCATCTCATGAGAATAATTGAACAACAGTATCTTATGAAACCCTCCGTGTTTGTGTGTGTGTGTGTGTGTGTGTGTGTGTGTGTGCAGTGAATCACTGACCCTAAAGATGCGAAGGGGAGGACAAGAGGAAGGGAAGTAGTGTGAGAAGTGATGGAGTCGTCCAGCAGTTTGGAGAAGTTGGACATTTGAGACACCTTTTAGACTCTACCTCAAAGGAACCAGCTTTGTGCTGGTTCTTATAAAAGAAATTATTCATTTAACCCAGCAGTTCTCAACCTGTGGGTCGCGACCTCTTTGGGGGTGTGTGTCAAACAACCCTTTCACAGGGGTCACCTGATTCATAACAGTAGCAAAATTACAGTTATGAAGTAGCAACGAAAATGATTTTATGGTTGGGGAGTCACCACAAGTAGGAAGGTTGAGAACCACTGATTCAACCCATGTGGTAGTTATTTGTTGTCAATTTGAGACTTAAGAGTGAAGGGGTGGAGTTTAGCCTGCCAATCAGGTCACAGCTTGATGACCTCATTTGGAGGTGCTAAGGAGATAAATCGCTTGTTGGAGGTGGGGCACACACTCAATTTCCTGAAGACATTCTTGCAAATAATACACATGGAGGTACGCTAGAGCTCTGGAGCTGAAGGGGGCACGTGAAGATTCTTGCCAGCACTGAGATGCTTCTACCGTCACTGGAACCACAAGACTTCCTGCCCACTGGCCTGTGATCTTCCTGCATTCGGCATCGTTGCATGTGTTCCGTAAGTCTGAAGAGAAGTTTATGCTTTGGTATCAGACATGTGGGCTAATATCCGACTTATAGACTTGATCTGGACTGGGCTGGGATGTTTTCTCAATATTCAATTGCTCTTGTAGATAAAGCTCTTTCTTATACACATATGAGTGTCTCTGGAATTGTTTCTCTAGTCTACCTGGACTAACACAACCCACCTGGCTTTCTTTTAGATAACCATGGTGGTGAATTAAGGCCAGCAGTTCTAAGTCACCAGTCTCTCCACAGGATAAAGATGAGGCTTTCTACTCCTGTAAAGAGTTACAGTCTTAGTGAGGGAAAGGAAGATGATAATTTAGTGACTGCCATGCAAAAATGTGATGAGGGACCCCCCCAAACCAGCAGCCATTTCTACCCGAGTGATGTGATACTGATGGGAAATCAGGTCGAGGGGATAAGGGGAGCAGATGTGTCTTGGAGAAGACAAGGACATTTCTGTTGGAAGCAAAAGGGAGAGGACCCACCTCTCGGAGTGGGGAAAGTGGCTCACAGTACTTTTAAGGATCCTGGGGAGACTGTGCCTCTACGGGGCTCCTAATAAGGCACATTGTGTCAACTTCCTGGGAATTCAGGCCACAGGCCATAGAATACTGGGACACTGGGTGAATCTATCGAGGCAGTAACTAGAACCAGGGTTCCTGTGGGGTACGGCAGAGGAGAGAGGGGGTAATGGAGAGCCGGAATCAAGAAGTACGAGAGGGAAGAAAATGAAAAGGATTGCGGTAAAGATTGTGCAACACTGGTTGATATGAATGAAATATTAAGTGGTATGATGTCTGAATTATGTTCCAATAAAATGATTTGGGGGAAAAAGCATTGGTGTCTTGTCTCACAGGGTAGTTCTACTCTGTCCTGTAGGGTCATTATGAGTCAGAATGGACTTGCTGGCAGTGAGCTTGTTTGTTTGTTTTTGATGTTCACAGTCAATAATGAATGCTATCTTCCACGTATTTTCCTGGGTCAGGAATAGCATACAAGGCACTTCCTGTGGGTACTCTGGTTGGTTGGTCTTCTCCACCAGGAGCACCTTGCCGGCTTTGTCTGGGGTAGGGCCGCTGTGATTGACAGGGATGTTGCCTTGACAGTGGGTATGGGGAGGTTAGTCATGCTCTGTCTTCTCTACCCTGAAGATTCATCTAGGGAGGGGCGGGGGATCGCAACAATCGTATGAGGATTGTCTAGCTTTTCAGAGTGCTTGTGGTCCAAATTGCACCAGAGTTGCCCAATGCTAATTTGAATATAACCTAAAAAGTGGAAATGAAAGATTGAGCTCACAAAAATAGGTAAGCCCAAAGGGAGAAAAACATCTGACTTTCAGAGTGAGACACAGGTTGAATCCAGGAAAAGTTAGACCTTGGAACGATGGCGTCCACAAGGGAGATGGCCTTTCTGGTCAAACGAACTCACCAGTAATAGAGCAAGAAGCAGAAGTTGGGCAGCGTCACGGTGAACTGCAGCCACCTCCAGTGAGGAAGTGCATATGCCACCCCAGTCAGCACCAGTAGCCCCATGGTGAACGCAGCTTGGTACAAGATCCCCACTGTTCTCCGGTAGCTCAGCCCGACAAATTCTGTAACTGCACAGAAAAGTCAAAATCAGCAAGACAGGTGGTTGGCTGCTCAAATTTTGGGGAACTAGAGTTCTATCACTTTTAGTGTTCTTGTTAGATGCCGTGGAGTCAGTTTTGACTCAGCAATCCCAAGATGCAACCCAAAGAAACACTGCCCGGGCATTTTTTGAGATGGCTTGTGTAAATAGATAAAGCATGCTTCCTGAAAAACAAATGAAAACTTAATTCATTAATTAATTTTGAAAAAGCCCTAAAACTGCCCGGGCCTGCGCCACCCTCACAATTTGGATCTATCTGAACCCATAGTTGCAGGCACGATGCCAATCCATCCCTTGAATGATACTTCTCTTTCATTGATCTTCTCCTTTCCCCTCTGCTTTTCCAGGGACTGACCACTCTCGGTCACACGAGCCAAGTACATGGGGTGAACTCTTGCCATTCCTGCTTCTAAGGAGCATTCTGGCTGTGCTGTCCATGAGACTTTACATATCCTTGACAACACTGTCATTTCTTCTGTACTCATTGTGCCACTTCCTCGTGCACATGAGGCTATTGAATGTACCGTGGCATGGCCCAGGCACACCTTCGTCTTCAAGGTGGCCTCCCTGGTCTTCAACACTTTAAAGAGATCTTATGCAGCAGATTCACTCAGCGCAATGCATTGTTTGATGTCATGCCTGCGGCTTCCACGAGCATTGACTGTGGATCCAATCCTTGACAGCTTGGATCTTTCCTCTGTTTATCATGATGATGTCTATCGGTCCAGTTGTGAGGATTTCGATATTTAGCAGTTTTATTGGCATATCATTCACACATGCAGCTTGTGCTGTGTCGAGCGTGTTCTTCCTTTTGGACTATTTTAGTGTCACGTTTTTGCACGTCCCGTTACAATGCTTTATGTTGTCTTCTCGAGCAGCTCACCGGGTCTCTTGTCAGTCCGCTTCGATGCGGCCCATCTGTTCTTAAGATGACCTTGAAATTCAGAAGAGATAGACTCAAGGTCGTATTTTGGTTCTTGTAGACCAGGGCTTCTCAAACTTTTGAAACGGGGCCAGTTCACTGTCCCTCAGACCCGTTGGAGGGCTGGACTATCATTTAAAAAAATATGAACAAATTCCTATGCACACTGCACATATCTTATTTTGAAGTGAAAAAAGAAATGGGGCAAAAACACCCGGTGGGCTGGATATATGTCCTCAGGCCATAGTTTGAGGACGCCTGTTGTAGACTTTTAATTTTCTTCAGCTTCAACCTGAACTCATTTTGCCTGATAATATTGAATAGTTTTATTTAATGGAAATATGTAATATTGAGTCCTATTTTACTGTTGTAGGATTGCTATAGTGTAAATTAATGTATTTTTTAAAAAACCACCTATATGGAGAGTTTGTTAAGATATTGTTGATTTCATTTCTTGGGATGGGCTGTGTAAATATATATGGTATTCTTTATTTTTTAGGTATTTTTCTTTTATTATTTATTTACTTATAAATTGGGTGAAGGTTAACGGAGCAGATCAGTTTTTCATTAAAAATTCATATGCACTTTATTTCATGTCATTGTTTGCCATCTGGGGATTATGGTGACTGCAACGTCACTTATCCCATTCCTTCCTGAGTTGACTATTTCATTCCTCCTTTCCTTTTTTAAAAAAATCATTTTATTCGGGCTCGTACAACTCATCACAATCCATACATCCATCCATTGTGTCAAACACGTGTACACTTGTTGCCATCATCATTCTCAAAACATTTGCTTTCTCCTTGAGCCCTTGAGCCCTTGGGATCAGCTCCACATTTTCCCCCCTCCCTCCCTGCTCCCCCTCCCTCATGAACCCTTGGTAATTTATGAATTATTATTATTTTGTCATGTCTTACACTGTCCGACGTCTCCCTTCACCCACTTTTCTGTTGTCTATCCCCAAAAATAAATGAAAAAAAAAAGAAACAAATCCCTCCAGATGCCTTCTTCATCACACCTAAAGAGTGGTTTGAATGGCTTAAAAATAGGAGGAAAGCACAACTGGGGTCTTTAGTGACCAAGAAGTTCATCTCAAACAAACAGACAAACAAAATGAATGTAAAAACTTATAAATCCCATCTTGTAGTTGTTACGTACTTCAGAACAGTTCAGCTCATAGTGGCCCTAGGTAGGCTAGCGCCAAACACTGCCTGGTCCTGCACCAACCTCACCAATTGCTGCTCTTTGAGCCCATTGTTGGAGCCACTGTGTCAATCCATCTCCTTGAGAATCTTCCTTTTTTTTCATTGACCTTTTAGCAAGCAAGAAGTCCTTCTCCAGGGACTGGCCCCTCCTGATAACTTATCCAAAACGAGTGAGATCAAGTCCTGTCATTTTGGCTCCTGAGGAGCATTCTGGCTCTCCTTCTTCCAAGATAGATCGGTTCATTTTTTTGGCAGTTCACAGTATATTCAGTATTTTTCACCAACATCATAATTCAAAAGAGGCTTGCCAAGATGAGCAATTGAATGATCGAATAATTGAAAGAGCAAATTCAGCTATAATTCAGATACACCCACAGAACTTCTATCTTGGGTCATAAAGCAGAGTGATAAATCAGAATTTGAATTTAGATTGTAAATTGTGAAAAACTTGACTATATGATCTTCTTTTACCTTTCTTGCAATTCCATTAATTCACGTAAATGATTTGCAAACCTCAGCAGGTGCTGGAGGCAGCTAGTTGTGGCTCACGGGATCTGATTTTTAAATATTTAGGTGTTTCATAAGCTGGTGGTTATAAACATTGGTATCTTGAAAGCAGCCATGGTGGAAGTATTTCCACCAAGCAAAGTGGAAAACACTGTAAATCATGTTTTAAATTTTTTTTCTAAGATCGCTTTACCAGCATATTACAGCACAGGTGTAATGAAGAACAAGCTTTATCCAACCCCATGACTACATCCAGACAACTGAGGTTCATGGTACCTGGAATTAAGTGAAACTCATTTTGATAACAAAAACACACTTGCATTCTTGATTTTCCTGTGTACACATTGAGAATAATTGGGGCTTACTATAGCGGGCTAGTGCAAAGTAATACAGTCCTTTTTACAAATCAGTCCTATTGTTCATCACTGAATCTTCCTTATGAATAGGCTGTAAACTAGATTCTCACTCTCTGTAACACTCCAGTGTCCAGGAAACAGAAATTCCAAGAAGATTATATAAGAATCTCGGCAGCATGAAGTTTACCCTTGTTTTTGTCTTCATCGCTTTCTTTCCTTAAGAGGAGGAATGCAGAATGAGTTGACTGAAAGGCTTTAGAAATTCTTTTGATACTGGAAAAAAAAAATCTCTCTCAACATGGTCTTGAAACGGAGTCCCTTTTGCTAAGCAATTACCCCCCACCTGGCTCTATTTTGGCAGTCAAGACCCTTTGTTCTCGCTCACAGCTGCAAACACAAGCAGACTTACTCAGGATGTAGCCTATTACCCAACCTGCCTTGCTGACCAGTCCTTGGATCAGGCGGAAAATTAACATCCATGTGTAGGTGGGAGAGATGGCCATGAGAACTCCAGATGTGGCATTTATGAGGATTGTAATTAAGAGGCAGAGCTTACGGCCAAATCTGCAGATAGAAAACAAACAGAAACATGCCAGAGAATCAGATGGATGATGTGGAAAATTCGTGGATGCTGTGGACATCCAGAAGGCAGCAGAAGCAAGTTCTGTATAAGGAAATCCAGAGGAGCTAGGAGGATACTTATGAAGAGAGCCCGCGGCTTCAGGGCACTCAGTTCAGGGCTTTCATCAGAAGGCTGGGCATACGTTTTACTCACAAGGAGCCACATTCAGCCCAGGACAAAAGGAGCTGCTCAGTCACAGACTGTGGAGGGGATTTAGGAAGAGAGGTGATTCTTGCAGGCCACCCAGTGCTGAATGCCCTTAGGATCTAGCTAGTTCTTACGTCATCATCTGAGCTAGGGGCTTTGCCATAGTCATCTCAACCAACAACTCACCTAAGAGAGTTTTTGCTTTGGCACAAAAGAAATTCAATGTTCAATATGCACTTTCCACAGTTCCAAAAGTGCTTCTGGACTTGGTAGTATTTGTGTGTTTCCCTGGAAACACTTGGTGTCACACTCCCATCACTCATGACACTCTGAGTTCAATGCTGGGCTGCTAACCCAAAGGTCCATGGCTCACATCCACCCAGATGCTTTACAGGGGAACCATGAGGCTGTCTGCACCCGTAAACTTTTACAGCCTCACCAGGGGAAAGGAAGTGGGGTGTCAATAAACCCAGAGACAAGGGAACAACAAGTGATCTAAAATCAATGGTGAGGAGGGCATGGAATGCTTGGTGGGGCTTGATCAAGGGCAATGTAGCAGAGAGGAATTACCAAAGTCCAAATGAAGGGCGAACATGATAGTGGGACAAGAGGAGAGTAAAAGGAAATAAAGGAAAGAACTAAGAGGCAAAGGACATTTATAGAGGTCTAAATATAGGCATGTACATATGGAACTACATTTATATATAACAATAGGGAAATAGATCTATGTACATATATTTATTTGTTAAGTTGTAAGGCAGCAGACAGTCATTGGGCCTCCACTCAAGTACTCCCTCAATGCAAGAATACTTTGTTCCAATTACCCGGCATTCTGTGATGCTCATCTTCCCTGACAAGATTGCTGAAGACAAAATGGGTGGACAAGCAAGTGTGGTGAAGAAAGCTGATGGTGCCTGGCTATCAAAAGATATAGTGTCTGGGGTCTTAAAGGCTTGAAGATAAACAAGTGGCCATCTAGCTGAGAAGCAAAAAAGCCCACATGGAAGAAACACACCACCTGTGTGATCATGAGGTGTCAGTGGGATCAGGTACCAGGCATCAGAGACCAAAACCGAAAAAAATCACATTGATATGAATGAGCGGGAGGGCAGAGTGGAGTCCCAAAGCCCATCTGTAGACAATTGGACATCCCCTTACAGATGGGTCACGAGGAAGAGACAAGCCAATCAGGGTGCAGTATAGCACCAATGAAACACACAACTTTCCTCTAGTTCTTTAATGCTTCCTTCCTCCAACTGTCATGACCTCAATTCTACCTAACAAATCCGCTAGACCAGAGCATGTATACTGGTACAGACAAGAGCTCACCACACAGGGAATCCAGGACAGATAAAACCCTCAGGACAATAATGAGAGTAGAAATACCAGGAGGGGGAAGGGGAAAGTTGGGGGGAGAAAGGGGGAACCGATCACAATAATTGACATATAACCGCTCCCCCACCCTCCACCCAGACAACAGAAAAGGGAGACCGTGGTCCGTGTAAGACGTGAAAAAAATAATTTATAAATCATCAAGGAATCTTGAGGCAGGAAGGGCGGGGCGGGGTGGTGGGTGGAATGAGCTGATACCAAGGGCTCATGTAGAAAGAAAATGTTTTGTACATATGACGATGGCAACATGTGTACAAATGTGCTTGACACAATGGATGGAAGTATGGATTGTGATGAGAGCTGTAAGAGACCCCAATAAAATTATTTAAAAAAATCTTTACAGCCTCAGAACCCCGATACAGGGTTGTAAGAGTCAGACTTGACTTGATGAGACTCAGTTGAAAAGAAGGGTCATGGGTGCTTTCTGGAGTAGACTAGTAGGACCGTGTTATAGATTCGATTGTGTCTCTCACAAAGATGTTGAAATTCTAATCCCTGTCCTTATGAATGTGACCTTGTTGGCCATTAGATTCTGTCTTTGAAGATGTTTTCAGCTAAGTCAACAAAGGCATACGGGATTAGAATGGGTCCTAATCCCTTCTGAGCACTGTCTGATGAGTGGGGTGAACTCCTAGCCAGAGCAATAAGAGAAGAAAAAGAAATAAAAGTTATCTATGTTAGAAAGGAAATAGAATTCTCTCCATTTGCAGGTGACATGATCCTCTCTATATATAGCATCCCCAAAAGTGCACAGGAAAACTTCTAGTGCTATAGAAAAATTCCATTTACAGTGTGTCTAGGAGAACAAAATGCCTGGGAATAAATGTATCTAGGTAGGTAAAGGACTCATTCAAGGTAAATTATAAAACACTGTTGTAAGAGATTCAAAAAGATTGAAATAAATGAAAAGATGTTCCTTGTTCATGGATTGAAAGACTTAATATTGTTAAGATGTCAATAGTGCCCAAAGCAATCTAAAGATTCAGCACAATCCTAGTCAAAATCCCCTCAGCTTCAACTTTATCTGGAATGGCAAGAACAGCATTCCAACTGAATAGCGAAAGAGAACAAAACCGGAGAACTCACATATCCTGATCTTAAAATATATTATTCAATGCAATGACTAAAACAGCCCGGTACTGGTGTAACAATAACCACGTAGACCAATAGAATAGAATTCAGAATCCAGAAATAAACCGGCACAACTGATTTTTTTTATGAGTGCTAAGTCCACTTGGTGGGGAAAGAAGAAGTCTCTTCAATAAACGATGCTGGGAAAATTAGATTTCCACATGCTGAAAATGAAACAGGATCTATGTCTCATGTGCACAAAAGCAAAGAGAAAATGCACCCAGGGCCTAAGTATGCAGACGAAACCATAAATTTCTTACAAGAAAATGCAGGGCCAATGCTCTTGGGGCTTAGCTTTTAACAATGGAGTCTAACAACGAAAGCAAAAGGCAAAATCAATCAATAGGGCCGTACACAAATGAAAAACTTTTGTCCTTCATAAGGCTTTACTCTCTAAGTGAAAAGCCAAGTTACTGACTGGGGGAATATTTTCAGACCGGAACATTTACCCCAGATTACCGGGCATGAAACATTAACCAGTGTGCCACTAAACACAGCCCTTATAATGACTGGCCATTAGAGTAAAAAGTGTGGATTTGGCGAAGGATGACTTTTTGTCAAGTGATACCGAAATCGTTCTTCAGGGAGTTGTGGAAGAAGAAGAAGAAGAAGTAAATGAGATGTTTTATAAAAGATTGGTTTTCCAGTTCTCTAACACATGACTGACTCTCTCCATCCCCTACCCTCCTTCCTTCTTATACTTCCCTCCCTCCCTCTTTGCAAAACCGATGCTCCCACGTGGACTTGGTGTAAGACTCCATACTCTCATTTACCACTTTTTCATGAAATATTTCTGGTTCCGCTGACAAAGAAACCAGCTGTAGAGGCCCAACCACATCGACTGCCATGGAATTGCTTCTGTCTCATCTCGACCCTGTGGGGCAGCGGTTCTCAACCTGTGGGTCCCAACCCCTTTGGGAGTCAAACAACCCTTTCACGGGGGTCAGCCCATTCATAGTAGTAGCATAATTGCAGGGATGAAGTAGTACTGAAAAGACTTTCATGGTTGGGGGTCCCCACCACATGAGGAACTGTATGAAAGCATTGCGGCACTAGGAAGTCATTGATTGGGGGAGCAGACAGCCATATCTTCCTGCTGGTGGGGTTGAGCTGCTAACCTGGAGGTTAGCAGTCCGACACCGGTTAGGGCACATTTCAAAATTCTTCTTAGAAGCTCACCTGTTTCATTTAGTCTTGGTTTGAGCCATAATATACAACGGGACTCCATGAGATTTTAATCCCAGTGCATAAAATCTGACAATTGTTCAGAAGGAGCCATTCGACATATGGAAGAGAAATAGCCTGCCTTTTCTGGGTCCCATCACAGTTAAGCATTGGGCTGCCCACCCCGTAAGTCAATGATTCAAACCTACCAACAGCCACTCCACAGGAGAAAGATGGGCTGCCTGCTCCCATAAAGGTTTATGGTCTTGGAGACCCTAACTCTGTCTACTAGGGCCTCTATGATCTGGGATCAACTTGGTGGAAGCGAGTTTGGGGTTTGGTTCTTGCTCTTTACACAAATGCAAGCAGAGCAAAAGGAGGGCAAACCACCTCCCAAACTGCAGGCAGCCTGAGACAAAACTCGAAGTATGTGTGAAGCCTTCGGGGGCAGCATCATGAGTGATGACTTAGATGGGAGATTTCGACAATGGAACACTCTGATGAAGTCATTTGAGAAGGTGGATAATTGACAGGGATTATAAACTAGGAATGCACTGTCAGTGGAGACTTGAGCAGGTCTCCTGCTTTGTGAGTGGGATGAGAATAATTAACTGGGTCATTTGTGGTTTGAGGCGGGGTTCTTGGCCCACATCCTCTCTGAGTTTCAGTATCTGCACCTTCTAGGGAGGAAGGGAGGAGCCTGCTGGCCAGACGGCCTGGCCTGGACTCTGGCCCTCCTGTAGTTAATGTGTCTCTCCTGATCTTCTGGGTCATCTCCAAGCAAGTAGGCCTCAATTCTGTGGCAATAAAACTTAAAAGGAATGACCTTTCTTTTCACCTTACAAGCCACCTAACAGGACGTTTCCAGAGCAGCCCTGGCTGGGAGACTGGGTGCAGTTAGAAATGTGAGGTGGTAGAGGAAACTGTTTCATGACTAAATCAAAACCCAGCCCACCGCCATTGAGCCAATTCTGACTCATAGCAACCCTATTGGGCAGAGTAGAACTGATCCCTATGGTTTTTGAAGCTGCAAGTCTTTATGGGAGCCCACAGCTTCATCTTTCCCCCACAGAGCTGCTGGTGGCCTTGAACTGCCAGCCTTGAAGTTAGCAGGCAAATGCTTAGCCCACTACTCTATCATCCTCCCTCCTTCCAGCGTCCGATGGCACAGCCCCTGTAGAATTGCAGGTACACCTGGGCCTGGGACACAGTAGGTTGTTGCTGGGACATTGCTGGTTATCTTTAAGACTTTGGCAAGTCTATATCCAGCCTGCGACATACTATAACCCAAGGAGAAGTTTGTATTTATCGGTAAAACTTGTATGCATTCTTAAATATGTAAAATGCAGTAAATATTGTATGCATACTTAAATATGTGAAACGCAGAGTCATGGAGTTGATCTTGACTCATAGTGACCTGACAGGGCAGAGTAGAACCTTGGGTTTCCAAGGTTTAAGTATAGCAGTGCAGACTGTTTCATCTTCCCCACAAGGACTGGGGTGGGGGGTTCAGACTGCTGACCTTGTGATTAGCAGGTGAAGGCATAGTCCATTACATCATTTAATATTTACTCCAGGTTTGAGCTTATCTGTATCAGAGCTATAGTTGGGGAGGGATGAAAGTGCTACAAGCTTGAAACTCATTTATCATTTTTGCAGAGTTAAATAAGAGTGTGTGGATATGTATTAAGGAGCTTCCAACAGTTCATGGAAACACAGAATTAAAAGATAATAGAATAGTTTCACTACTTAAAAAAAAATGAAGCAAACCAAACAAAACTTGATTATAAATCAAGTGCATGTTTTACAGAGCAGTTTTACATTCAACAACTCATGTACCTTTTACTTCATCACGTTAATTGCATCCCTTCGATGTAACACCCCGGACCTCACTCCCTCTCAGTCTCTGGCCTCCACTCCTCACCTCACCCTTCTGAACTTCATTCTTGGGCCAATGCTGCCTCCTTGACCTCAAATGGTTGATTGTTGCAAGGGGTGCATACCTCACTAGCCCTATCGTTTCCCTTATAGACTGGTCTATTGTGTAGCTGAAAAATGAATCACAAGGATGAGTTAAGTACCAGACTGAAGGGTGACTCGAGTATAGTCTTGGGGGTTGCACCAATCGCTATCTGACCAGTGAGCCTGGTCTTTTTAGAAATTGATTTTGAGTTTTGCTCTACCTTTTTCTCCCATTCTATCTAAGACTCTCTAATGGGACAGTGTCTTGGTTACACACACACACACACACACACACACACACACACATACACGGACCCTGGTGGTGTTGTTGGTTAAGTGGCGGGCTGCTAACCAGAGGATTGGTAGTTCAAAATCACCAGCCACTCAGGAGAAAGACATGGCTGCAGGAGAAAGACGCAGCTGGCTGCTTCTTGTAAATATTCACATCTTCAGAAATTCTACATAGGGTGCCTCAGTGTAAGATTAACTTGATGGCAGTGGGCTTGGTTTTGGTTTTTAATGCCGCAGTACCTTTCCATGACCCCTACGAGTTTGAAAATAAAGACATAAGTCATTACTAGCTTTCAAAAGTTAGATAATGAAGAAGGAAGACAGAAGAGGAATTGATGCAGTCCAGTGCTGGCGTTGGCAGGGACTATGGAATATACTGTGGACTGCCGAAGGAATGAGCAAATCTATCTCAGAGGAAATGCAATCAGAATATTCCCTAGACGTGAGAGTGGTGAGACTTTGACTCACTTGCTTGGACACGTCTTGAGGAAAGCTAATTGCTAAACATCATGTTTAGTAAAGCGAGGATCATCAGAAAATAAGGGAAACCCAAAATGCGATGGGCCGATCCAATAGCTGCAACCATGGAGTCACACAGGCACTGGTCGTGATGACGATCAGCACTGGGAGATGTTTCGTTCTATTTGAATCCGGGTTGACTCCACAGTAGCTGCCAGCAGTAACATTGCTAGGACTGATGCAGCAGCAACAGCTATGGGACTGTAAAGACGAAGGTGAGGATATCATGCTCTCTGAATTTGGGAGCAGGAACAGATGTTTTCCAAATCTGTATGCGTGCTCCCATTCCACCATGTTTATTGCACACCTACCTGTCTGCTATGTAACCGATCCCCATGGACCCGATAAAAAATCCCACATTCACCGCCGACTGGACCAGATCCAGCATCCAGGAGTTGGAACACACGAGGTTAAACTGCCCCGGCAGGAGAGGTGGTCCACATGAGAAAGGAAAAAACAACAACATCTAGTTAGAACCCTGCTGCATGTGACTCAGCCTGGGCCCTCGTGACCTCTTACCTGAAGTGTGGCCGAGGGACAAAAGTACAACCATGTGCTGATGTGTTCACTTTCTTTGCCCAACCAAGAGACTTTCCATCCAGTCTTGTCAACATCCCACCTGGGAGTGTGTCATTAGGTCAACCATAACTCAAACCAAACCCACTGCTGCCAAGTGGACTCTGTACCACAGTGACCATACAGGACAGAGTAGAGCTGCTCTGTAGGGGTTCAAAGGCTGTGAATCTTTGTGGAAGCATCTTTGTCCTGTAGGGTGGCTGATGGGTTTGAATTTCCAGCCTTCTGGTTAGCAGTTGAGCACTTAACCCACTGGGCAACCAAGGCTCCTAGGTCAACTATAAGTCCAAACCCAATCCAACCAGACCCATGGTCATTGAGTCAATTCCAACTCTTAGAAGCCCAATGTATTGTTTCTGAAGCTATCAATATTTATGGAAGCAGATCGCCTCAGCTTTCTCCCGAGGAGCAGCTGACGGGTTTGAACTGCCTACCTTGTTATGAGCAATTCAATGCTTCCCAGAGAACTTACCAGGGATCAATTATAACTCACTGTCACCGAGTCAATTCCAACTCATATTGACCCTACAGAACAGAATATAACTGCCCTTTGTTGCGGTTTCCAAGACTTTGCATTTTTATGGGAATAGACAGACTTATCTTTTTTCCAGCAGAGCAACTGGTGGGCTCGAACTGCTGACCTCGTAGTTAGCAGCTCAATGCATTACATGCGATGCCATCACCACAGTGCTGGCTCAATCAGCCGGCATGAAGTGATGACTCCACTTATAAGCGAATCTGTGCTTTACTTTTGAACTTTAAGATACAGAAGAAAGAGATGCATCGGGCCCCTGGAGCCTCCCCTGTGAAGGACATCTTTGATAGCAAGGGTGGGTGGGTGGTGGGTTAGAAGCATCCAGTTAAAGGCTGTTGCGTTCAGGACTTTGAACTGGTTCATTTCTACGTGAAATGCAAATTCTCAAGCCGGCATGAACCAGCTGGAAGTCCTGATTGCATTTGCTGTCCTTTGGGGTGAGATGCAGAGGAAGTCAGGAGGCCAGGTTTCTAGAGCCAACTCCACTTACACTTCCATGCGCCTTGGACACCAGTGGTCTCCGCCCTGGACCTCAGTGTCTTCTCCCTGCGGGCTGGAATGATATCAGCCAAGCTGTACGGCCTTGTAAAGTTTATGGTGCGGAACATGTAGATCTTCTGCATGTCACATAACTATTTGGCCACTTTAGATCCTGAACAAAAATTAGGCTCCTTTCCAGAAACATCTGTTCATACAGAACATCTTCCCATTATCTAAGCCGTTGTTTGAAACAAAGCCAGGCAACTGGCTTCCTCAGTGTTTTTCAGAATAATTTCATTTCCCCATTTTGCTTTGTCTTACGGAGGAACAAGACTCCGGCTTTTTCTCCATTTGCAGCAAGAATTCTCAATTAAATTGAAATGTTAAGTGTCATGTTAAGAAAAATAGGACTGTAGCATGTTCTCTGACTCCAAAGGGTTTTATAGGAACACTGAGCTAATTAAAGAGGGAACGAAACAGCCATCCGGAGAAAAACTTCCTGCATCACAGGAAGGCAATGAGTCTATTCCAACTCATCGTGCCCTACAGGCGAGGACAGAACTTCCCCTGGGGGCTTCTGAGACTGGACATCTGTAGGGGAGTCGAACCTCCCCCAGGTGGTTTTGAATTGCTGGCCTTGAGGTGAGCAGCCCAACACATAACCTGCTACAGCACCGGGGCCCCAACACAGGAAGGTACAGCTCAGGGGAATTCCATAAGCTTGCCAGATGTCTGTCCTTCTGCGTGGTGGGAAAACTCAGGGGGAAGGTAGGAGTTCTGGAAAAAGAGGAGACTTCAAATTCTTCCCCTCGCTGGCCTTATTTCTGGCAGTGGTGCTAGCCCTGGTGGTTTCTCACCATTGAGCCTTGGCATAAACTAGAATCATTGTCAGAATGTGTCACCTCCGGGCTAATCTAGACAAATAGGAAGCTCTGTTCATCTAAAAGCTAGGGTCCTGGGTGGCACACGGAGTGCAAGGAGCATGTCGGGGCACAGGCATGGGGTAACTCTGGAATCTCCCAGAAGCCAAGTTCAGTCATTTGCTCTCTCCCTCTCAGTCCTGAGCATCTAGGTGGGACTCACTCACCTCGGTCACAATGGAGGAGCCGGGCGAGTCGTACACCCAGCCGTGCCCGCAGGGCCCCAGGGGCAGGTGGCTGCTGTTGGTGGCCAGGCCGGCCAGCGGGTCCACGCAGCCGAGGGCGCTTTGATTCCAGTCCACCTCATACCTGCGGCACTGGCGAGTGAAGGCGTCGCCCTCGGCCCCCAGGCCGGGCACGGTGTAGTTCAGCTCCTCGTCCCGGCTCCAGCCACACCGCTGGCTGAGCCCAGCCACCCCGGGGTTCCGGCAGCGGTGGTCCGGGGTGAAGCCCAGGAAGACGATGCCCACGTAGATGGGGGCGAAGGTAACAGAGAGCAGAGACAAGAGGAAGAAGGTTTGTTTCTGAAAAAAGTGAAAGTCCCCGATGTGTTCTAGGATGTCATCTACTGTGGGCATTCTTGCTGGCGGCGGGGATCGCTCCACGAGGCTGCTGTGGGCACAGGCCGCCTCTGGACCGGCAGTCCCAGGGAGAGCCGCAGCCTGCTCCAGAGAGCAGCCCTGGGTGCAGACCTCCCCTCGGCCAGGCTCGCCCCACGCTGCCCTTCTGCCGTGGGCGTGGGTTCCGCTGCTCTCCCAGAGCCGGCTTGTTCCAGGGCTCCGTGGGGTATGGGTTGCTGCTACCTCACACCAGCACACAAACAGCCCTTTCTCTCTGTAACCTGAGTGCTTTCATGTCCAACAAACCTGTTAATCTTTCTCTAGTCCGGGAGGGGCCTCAGAGCTGACCCCCACAGCCACCTCTTCTTTGGGTCCTACTGAGCAGGTCCCAGTAGTTGGCTGCCCGCCTGCTGGGGTGAGGAACATCTGGGCCTTGGGACCGCGCTCCTCTGTGGACTCCGATTGGGCTGCGAATTCTTTGGGCTCGTTCTGCAAACAACAGCAAAGGCTACACGCTGAGGCTGCCTCTTTGGGGGTTTGTTGTCCTCGGGTTTGATAACTTTGTCTGTTCCAAGTGTTTATCCAATCTGAAAGGCATGCTGACCCTTCAACCCCCAAATGCTTTTCCCCTAGACCCACTTGGGAGGAAGGAATGCAATGTCCACTACACGTTTATGTCCGTGCAGGGGGCACCTTAATTCCACGGCCTTGGTCTCAGATTCTTCTGTCAAGGGCTCAGTGCTGTCTTGTCATTGGTGGTGGGTGCCTCCAGCATGCAAGAGAAAACTGGTGAATCCTCTTTCCTAGGGGCCAGCAGGGAGCCTTGGTGGTGCAGTGGTGAAGCATTGGCCTGTGACCCTCAAGGTCAGCAGTTTGAAACCATCCGCTGCTCCATGGGAGAAAGATGGGGCTTTCCACTCCCCTAAAGAGGTACAGTCTTGGAAACTCACAAGAGAAGTTCTACCCTGTCCTGTAGGGTCGCTCTGAGCCGGCATTGACTCAATGGCAGGGAGTGAGAGTGAGTGAGTGGACAGCAAGATCCTGACTACAGGGTGGGATAAGGACATGTTGACAATTTGCACAATCAAACACTGCAGAAACCCTTCCTGCCACTGAGTGTCGAAGAACACCTGGTGGGTTTGCACACGCAGTCCACTGCACGACCAGGACTTGTTGTATAGCAAAATGCTGGGAGTTTAATTCTCTTGTCTCTCATTTTCACTATTGGGTAGTCAGTGGGGGTGACCGGTGGCTCAGTGATAGAATTCTTGCATTTCATGAAAGGACACCCGACTTAGATTCCCAGTCAGTGTAGCACTCCAGCTGTCTGTTCAGTGGAGGCGTTCGTGTTGCTATGATGCTGGCCAGGGGCTGGATCACTTCCTCATTGGGCCAGACAGGGATGAAAAGCCTTGTGATGTGCTGTTGAATGTCCCTGAATAAAAAACCCCATGGATAAGTTGGCATAACCTAGTCCACGTAGACGATGCTCTACATCCTACTTTGGTGCGTAGAGACTGAGAGCTTAAAAGCTTGTGAGTGGCCATCTAAGGTGCAGTGGTCAGTCTTTCCCTGTCTGACGTAGAGCAGAGTGAAGGAAATCAAAGATGCGAGGAAGCCATTCCTGTAAAGGGATGCATGGATCATGTAAACCCCAGCCTGAGACCTAGAAAAACTAGATGGTGCCCAGCTACCACGGCCAACATGTTCTGAAAGAGATCTCAATAGGTCAAAGGTCTGGGATACAGTACAAGAAAAATGCCAAAATAAAACTCAAAATCACGACAAAGACCAAGTACCTACGGTGCTTAAATACCTTCCCTGTCTGGAGCAGAACTCATGCTCATGCTTCAGCTTTCAGCCAAATGATAGACAGGTGCATAAGGTGAGCCAAAACACCCCAGAGACATGCACTCGTTAGAACGGTCAACCACATGAGAACAAAAGAGCATCATTTGCCCAGGGATAGAGTTCAGAAGGCAGGAAGGGATAGAAAAGAATGATGAGGGGAAACAGTCGGCATGGCTACAGTGGCGCATACAAAGGACAAAGTTATGAAACCTTCTTAGCCATACCCCAAACCATGAGCGATTGCACCACTGGACTTGGAGAATTAGGACCATCGTCTCAGGGCACTCCAAGGTCAATTGGCATAACCTAGTTTACAAAGATGATGTTCCACCTCCTACTGTAGGGTGACTGGGGTCTTACAAGTTCATGAGCCATCACAGCCATTGGGCTCTCCCCATCCAAAGGAAAGCATGACCCAGGATAGCTTTTGTATAGCTCTTGAGATCTGAAGAACTTGATGGTGCCCGGCTACCATGACTACTTTCTCTGAAAAGCAATTTTTACTTTAGAAGGTCCCGGATAGAGTGCAAGAAAAATGTGAATCAAAACTCGAAATCATGAACGAGACCAGGCTCAGATAGAGACCAGTCAGATAGAGACTGGGCAAATCCTTATGACCATGGCCCTTGATCTTCCTTCAGGACTGGAACTGAAATCATCTTCTTGCTCCAATAGCTAAACATTTTAGATAAAAGGGGCACCATTTACCCACGGGCAAAATTGAGAGGGTTAGTAAAAAATGAGGTATGGAAACAGGAAACACAGAGATTCAGAAGAGTAGATTGAGGGCATTGTCATGCACGAGTGGAACCAAAATGTACACAAATTGCTCGATGTAAAACTGATGCTATACCATGTAAACCGGCACCTAATTAATTCACAATAAAATGTTTTTAAAAAGTGGTTACAGCTCTGGGAACCCTAGGGGGCAGTTGTACTCATTTCTATAGGATCGCGATGAGTCAGAATTCAGTCAATAACAATGTTATAGTTGTTTGTTTTGAGAATAGTTCTGCATCATAGCACAGGTGTGGACTGGTGTAACCACCACCAGTCCAACTTGAAACTGTTCCATTACCACAATGTCCCCTTATAGTTACCGCCAGTCTCACCCCATCATCTTTATCCCTCAAACCCTCCCTCTGCCATCTGATGGATAGAAGATGCTCACTTCACGGAACACTAGGCCATGTTTTTGGGCTATCTCCACATGCTAGACCTAGGTCTCCTCTCCAGAACCAGCAAGACCCAAATTCAGTTCTCTTCAAGGTGACCCCTCAGTTGGATGGCTAAAGATTTGTATGGCTGCCAAGCTGACTTGGGAGGGCGGAGGTGGTCTATGGCTTCTCCCAGGAGCCCAGCACGACTGCTTGAGGCCCTGACCTAAAGTATAATGACTGGATGATATGAAAAAATTCATCAAAAGGGTGAGAACTGTCAACATCATGGAACTGGGGAAAAATTCTTCAGAACCCAGGAAATTAACTAACAGCCTACCATGAAACAAAGAGTGTTTACACACACACACACACACACACACACACACACACACACACACACACACACACACACACACACACACACTCTACCTCCACCTTCCGCCTCTTCCCTGATCCCAGGCCCTGATGGTCAAGGCCAGAGGAGGACTGATTGGGGAAATGTCAGCCTCTATGGCAGAGAGTAGGAAGGAAGCAGGGAGCAGGAAAGCAAGAAGTTTCCGTGTGCTGAGCATGTACCTGTTCTAAGCAATCTTCATATAACTTCCTTCATGGGATCCGTGAACGTCTGCGTTATACCGAGATGCTCTCATTTTACAGACGAGGACGCAGAGGTCAGAGAAACTGAACAGCTTCCTCAGTTTCAGCCAGATTGACCCAGGGACTGAGTTAGGACTCGAGGTACGCTTTGCCTGGTGTCAAGCAAAACATCTTCCACTTCCGCTTTGTTTTGTTGTTTCCTGGAAGTGGTTGTGGAAAATGCCTGAGGAGTCCCGGAGGTTATTCGTAATGAACACGATGCCATTCATCATGAAAAGGAACATGTCAACATCGCATGAAGTACAATTCTGTCTGTGAGGGATAATATCCATATGCCTGCCAGGAAGTCCAGTTCATACAACAATTATTCAAAATGACACACCAGCCACTAACGTTAGAGATAAATAAATTGAAAACACTACCCACTTTTTCAGTCTGAAATGGATCAAGCATGCAATGGAGATGTGTTGATAATTGCTGATGATTGAAATGCAAAAGTTGGAAAGAAAGAGAAAGGACCCATCATTGGAAAAGATGCCTTTGGTGATAGAAAAACTGGAAGTCACACAGTCGAGGTTGGGAGACCAAGAATTCTTCATCGCAAATACATTTTTACCAACAACATAAACATCAACCATACATGTGGACCTCACCAGGTGAAATACGCAGGAATCAAGTAGACGGTATCTGTGGAAAAGACGATGGAGAAGTTCCACAGTAGGAGCAAAACCAAGGTCAGGGCCTTGGAATCACTATGCCACTAGGACGCCTTACTGAAGGCTTTAGTTGGAGGGACGGATGGAATGCAAATGGACATGTTTCAACAAACCGATGGCATTGGGTTTGAGTCCGGTACCCCTGAGTGGCCCAGGTGGCCCAGCACTCAACGACTAAAGGAAATAGCTGGCTGTTTGATGGCAGGAAGAAGCACCTCAGAAGGTAGGTTGGGGATCTGCTCCTGAAAGGTCGCAGCGCTGAAACCCCGACAGAGCAGTTCTACTCAGTACACATGGCCATGACCATGACTTGCAATCAACTCAACAGCAATTAAGGACAATGACAATGGTTACAAAGTCTTACCACTTCCGCACGGCCCCCCCACCCCCCACGGCCCCACTCGGGATGGTCCTGACAACCTCTCGCTAGGAAATGTTACAGGATTTTACTCGTTGATAAGGTCCCGGAAAGACACGAGATCCTTGTGCCAGCAGCAGGTGAGAGGTGGGATAAGAGATGTTGAAATTCATTATGAATTGCTTAGAGTAAGTGATCAGATAAGGAGAAAGTAAGACCTCAGGTCACTTACAGCAGTTAGTTTACTATGTCACTCCACACTCCGCCATCAATGCCCTAGCCAGGAGCAAAACTCACAGCACCCGGGCCTTCAGATCAGTTCTCCCTCTACTCCATAGCCAAGCCACTCAGTCCTTGAGACTGGAGGTGGGGAGGCCAGACAGGAGAGGAACCTTAATGATGGGGATGTAATTCAATGCTTTGCTGTTGGGTCATTCCACTTGTTGCTTCCTTCCTGGCTTTGCTTACATATTCAGAAACACGACTAGAGGATAATTTGATCCAATGCCAAATGATCGCTTTAATCCAAATAATCTGATAATTCACTGTAATTAGTGCTGGAAGTATTTCTCAATTTCTTATCAGGTTCCTTCATAATTTAAATAAACATTG